TCTTTTTAATGACCTCTTGCTTTCTTCATGTATGATGTCCTTGATTTCATTCCACAGCTCTTCTGGTCTTTGGTCATTAGTGTTCAGTGTGTCAAATCTATTCTTGAGATGGTCTCTAAATTCAGATGGGATATACTCAAAGTTATACTTTGGCTCTCGTGGACTTGTTTTAATTTTCTTCAGCATATGAGCTGAAACTTGCATATGAGCAATTGATGGTCTGTTCCACAGTCGGCCCTTGTTCTGACTGACGATATTGAGCTTTTCCATAGTCTCTTCCCACAGATGTAGTCAATTTGATTCCTGTGTATTCTATCCTGCAAAGTCCACGTGTATAGTCACTGTTCATGTTGTTGAAAGAAGGTATTTGCAGTGAATAAGTTCTTGGTCTTGCAAAATCCTATCATGCAATCTCTGGTGTTATTTCTATCACCAAAGCCATATTTTTCAACTACTGATCCTTCTTTTTTGTTCCAACTTTTCCATTTCAATCACCAGTGATTACCAGTGCATCTTGATTGCATGTTTGATCAATTTCAGACTGCAGAAGGTGGTAAAAATCTTCAATTTCTTCATCTTTGTCATTAGTGGTTGTTGCATAAATTTGAATAATAGTCGTATTAACTGGTCTTCCTTGTAGGCGTATGGATATTATCCTATCACTGACAGCATTGTACTACAGAATAGATCTTGAAATGTTCTTTTTGACAAAGAAAGTGAAGCCATTCCTCGTCAATTCGTCACTCCTGGCATAGTAGACCATATGACTGTCTGATTCAAAATGGCCAATGGCAGTCCATTTCAGCTCACTAATGCCTAGGATATTGATCTATATGGGTTTGATTTTATCTTTTATGACTTCCAATTTCCCTAGATTCATACTTTGTACATTCCACATTCTGATTAATAATAGATGTTTGCAGCTGTTTCTTCTCATTTTGAGTCATGCCACATCAGCAAATGTAGGTCCCGAAAGCTTTATCATCCACATCATTAAGGTTGACTCTACTTTGAGGAGGCAGTTCTTTTGTAGTCATATTTTGAGTGCCTTCCAATCTGAGGTGCTCGTCTTCAGGCACTATACCAGACAATGTTTAGCTGCTATTATAAGGTTTTTACTAGCCAATTTTTCTTTTTAGAAGTAGATCGCCAGGTCCTTATTCCTAGTCTCTTAGTCTGGAAGCTCCATTGAAACCTGTCCATCATGGGTGACTCTGCTGGTATTTGAAATATCAGTGGCATAGCTTCCAGCATCACAGCACATGCAAGCCACCACAGAATGATAAACTGACAGACGAGTGATGGGTGGAAGAGAATAGAGCAGAGGATAAAATCAGGAAATACAACGCTAACCTGAGTTTAGACTTTATTCTGTGGGCAATGGGGAGCCATGGAAGATGCTGAGCTGGAATGATTGCCTCATCCACCACCATCTAGCTTCCTACTTGCCTCTTTATCGCCCTCTGATCCCTCACTATAGCCAGAAGGTTCTTTTGTAAACCTCTGTCCAATCATATCATTTTTCTATCTCCAGCTTTATATCCTTCATTGGTTCTCACTGCTTCTGGGATTAAGACCAACCTCCTTCCAATGTTAGCAGAGCCCTGCCTGGCCTGGCCCTGCCCACTTTTGTAGCCTCATCTTCCTTGCTCTCTCAGCTTCAGCCTCACTGGCCTTCATCCAGTTCCTCCTACTTTACTCGGTCAACTATTTATTGAGCATCTACATATTTGCCACGAAGTGTCCACCACCATATGCTGTTGACTTTGCCTGGAATACTTTTCCTCCTTTAAAGAAAATCAATTTAATTCTTACCCATTCTTAACATCTCAACTTAAGTGTCCTTCCAGAAGCCTTCCCTGACTCTCTCCTTTTTTAAACTCTCATAGTACCATGTACCTTTCCTTTGTAATACTATCCGCAACCGTGGGTACTTTTACCTTTATTTGTGGGATCACAGCCAAACCGTAGGAGCCCAGGTGGTGCTGTGGTTCAGCGCTAACCAAAAGGTTGGCCGTTCGAACCCACCAGCAGCTCCATGGGAGAAAAATGTGGCAACCTGCTTCTGTAAAGACTTACAGCCTTGAAGGCAAGATCATAGAAGTTCCATAGACACATCCAAACTCCCTAAGGGACCGAACTGCTAGGCTGAAGGCTGTGGGGACCATGGTCTCAGGGAACATCTAGCTCAATTGGCATAACATAGTTTATTAAAAAGAAAGTTCTACATTCTACCTTGGTGAGTAGCGTCTGGGATCTTAAAAGCTTGTGAGCAACCATCCAAGACACTCCACTGGTCTCACCCCTTCAGGAGCAAGGAAGAATGAAGAAAACAGAATACAAGGGAAAGATTAGTCCAGAGGACTAATGGACCACAACAACCATGGCCTCCACCAGACTGAGTCCAGTACAACTTAATGGTTCCCGGCTACCACCACTGACTGCTCTGACAAGGATCACAGCAGAGGGTCCTGGACAGAGCTGGAGAAAAATGTAGAACAAAATCCTAACTCACAAAAAAAAGATCAGACTTACTGGCCTGACAGAGACTGAAGAAACCCCGAGAATATGGCCCCAGACACCCTTTTAGCTCAGTAATGAAGTTACTCCTGAGGTTTACCCTTCAGCCAAAGATTAGACAGGCCTATAAAACAAAATGAGACTAATGGGCCACAATAGCCCAGGGACAAAGACTAGAAAGCAGGAGGGAACAGGAAAGCTGGTAATAGGGAACCCAAGGTCGAGAAGAGAGAGAGTTGACAAGTTGTGGTGTTGTTAACCAATGTCATAAAACAATACGTGTACTAACTGTTTAATGGGAAACTATTAGTTCTGTAAATCTTCATCTAAAGTGCAATTTAAAAAAAAGATTTACAGCCTTGGAAACCCTACAGGGCAGTTCTAGTCTGCTCTATAGGGTGGCTATGAGTTGTAATCGACTTGACAGCAGTGGGATTGGTTTTTGTGACAGCCAGCCTGTAAGCTCTGTGAGGATAGGCACTGGGACTCTCTTGCAGACTGCTGCAGCCCAGGATCCTAGCACAGTGCCTGGTATAAATATCTAGTGTGAAATGGTGTGTGGGGAATAGAATGAAGAAGAACAGAGCTTGGAGCCTGGGAGATCTTCAGGAGGCTGTTGGTGTAGCTCAGGTACGAAGTGATGCCTATGACTAGGGCAGGTGCAAGGGAGCTAGAGAGGAGGGTAAAAAATGGAATTTACTAGAAGACGAAGCTAATTAGTGGGGTGGGATGGGGAGGAGTTGTACTGAGAGGGAAGACTCAGGCTGCTGCCAATAACTGGGGCTTAGGCAAGTGGGAGGAGAACCACAAGGCTAGGAACAGATCTAGAAAGAAGGAAGGTATGGTTTGGGATGGAGTACCTGGGTGGCGTAAACAGTTAAGGTGCTCAGCTGCTAAGCAAAAGTTTGGAGGCTCTAGGCCACCCAGAGGTGCTCAGAAGAAAGGCCTGGTGATCTACTTCTGAAAAATCAGCCATTGAAAACTCTATGGAGCACAGTTCTACTCTGACACACACGGTGTCGTCATGGTGAGTCAGAGCCTACTCAAAGGCAACTGGTTTTATGGTTGGGACCAAAGTGAATATGATGTCATGCTGTGACAGGCAGGTGGCGCTGTCCTGGAAGTAGCTGGGAACAGGGAACCTCTGGGATGGGAGTTGGCGCGGGTTAGAATTCTGAGCAATGAAGAGGACAGAACCTGGAGGAAGGGACACCAGCGTAAAGGAAAGAGAGAGAGGAAGGGTAACTTCTCTGAACCTTAGTTTATTCATCAGGAAAGGGGGGCAGCATTGCCAGCCTCATAGGATGATTCTAAGGCTAAATGACATAATTTAGGTAAAGTCCTTAGCAAGTGCCTGGCACAAAATAAGGGCTCAGTAAATCATCATCATCATCAAGGTACTTGACTACATTTCCATGCTGAACTCAGGAGCTCAAATAACCAGAAAATTAAATAACGAATGACTGGCCTGAGGCCTTGAAAGCAGTCACACCTGTGCCTATTCCTAGGGAGGCCAGGACAAGTCCAAGGAGTCCAAGAAGAAAGCAGGAATTCTAGCAATAGAGCATTCTGGGGCAGTCATGGGGGCCAGCCCCTGCCCAGCAGGCTGACACCTGAGCCATCTTAGGCAGGAGACCCGGGGCCCTCCTTGAAGATGCTTAACCATGGGCCTAGCTTGGGGCATACCTCCTACCGACTCCCCCAAGAAGGACCCTCTGAGGATCTTCTCTGTCGCTAAACTCTCCATTCCCACCCTCACCCACCTGATATCCCCCGATCAAAGAGGGCCAAGAAAAAAAGTGCTTCCTGAGAAATGGGGTGTGGAGGGAAAGCCAGCCCCCAGCCTTCCCAGCTCACCCTCAAGAGCTCCACACCTGTCTTGTGTGATCTGGGGAATGGGCTTGGCTAAAAAGGATGTGGTTCTTGGGTGGAAAATGGGGGAAGGGAGGACCAGTGTCTTTTTTTCTCATGGCAACATGGGGCTGACCGAGGAACAGGAGGCAGGTGCATTAGGCTGTAGAAAAAGCCACAGGGGCTGCCTGGGGACCCAGGTGCGTCTGCAGAATTGAGTGGGTGGGCTGGGATCTCAAGGGGCCTGGCCTATCAGTGTGGCCTGGATATAATTCATGCTCTCAAGTTCTCAGCCTTTCCAGTATCTTCTACCAGCACCCTGCCTGGCCCTGTCACCATCCTGAGAGGAAGGGTCCTGCATTGCTTGGATCAGCCTCCAGCTGTCCTCAGCCAGAGAGGGGCAGGCTTACTTAGGGGGTCCCCACAAGAGGTCTGAGCCATTTTGTAGTCTAGACCATTTCTCTGAGAAGAACCCTCTTTCTCTCCCTAAGAGGGGCTGCTGGAGTGTGGGCTGCAGTGGTTACGGGCTATGTTCTGGAGACCCAGACCGGGAGCTACCTGCAGGGCTGCTGGGCCTGCTGGGCCTGACAGACAGGCTTCCTGAGGTCTCTACCTCTCTCTGTCTGCAGTCGCGAGGGAGCGTGCAACAGGGGGACCTGGACGGAGCCCGGAGGCTGGGCCACCTGGCCAGGCTGCTCAGCATCACCTTCATTATCTTGGGGATCGTCATCATCATTGTGGCTGTGACAGTCAACTTCACAGGTGAGACCCACACGTGCACAGGTGAGGCACAGGAGCTGAGGGGCCAGCTTTCATGGTGAGGACTACTGGAGGGTGTAGCCTGGCCCCCTGGGGCAGGGGCTGTGCAGGGGAGGGTAAGAGCACGTAGGGGCCACAGCCTTATCCTCTCATTCCAGTAAAGTGACCAAGTCCCCAGCAGTGACCAGCTGAGTGGGGACTGGTTTTCTGACTTGTCTCATGTCTGGAGAGTAGACCATAGAAAAGGATATGGAAAGAGCATAGACAGTCCAGGAGGCAGAGGACAGGAGCTCAAGTCTCAGCTGTGACAGCCCTGTGACTTGGCCAGTGCCCTGTGTGGCTGACCTCAGTGTTTTCATGTATCAAATGGTCTGAAGAGGCCTCCAGCACAAAGGCTTTTGTGAGCATCACCTGAGATAGGAGATGTGGCTCTGCTTTGTAAACTGTGGGCTTGACACACTAGGAGCCCTGCTGAGATGCCCAGGGCATGCAGGAAGTAGACAATGCATGTAGTGGAAGGCAGGAAGTAACACTCTGTGAGCACCCAAAGGTGGCCCGGTGGAGTTATCCAAGCAGGGGAACCATTTTCAATGTGGACTGTCAGCTACTCACAAAGTCCATGCAGTTATACAGGTTTGGGCTCTAGAAGTCAAAGCTGTCCACTTCCCACCTCGTCACACTCACACTGGGAGGCTCCTAAGCATCTCTGCCACTTTTGATAATCAACCCAAGCTTTTTCTCTAAAGACCTTGCTATTCAAAATGCGGTCCTTGTACGAGCATCCTGGAACCACCGGGGAACTTGTCAGAAATGCAGAATCTCAAGCCCCGCCCTAGACCTATTGAATCAGAATCTGCTTTTTAATAAGATCCCCAGATCATTCATTAAAGTTCAAGAGGCACTGATCTAGAGGGTGGAGTGCTCAATTTGGCGAAGAAGACCTTGGACTCAGCCATGGGGCCATAGGTAACCTTGCCCACTTACCAGAGAGAAGAATTCTAAAATCCAGGTCCTCCACTCGAGCTATGTGAATTGGAGCAAGTTCGATATCTCTCTGAGCTTTAGTTTCCTACATGAGAGGCAGCAGCCCAATAGCGCAGAGCGTTACCCTCTGTATCACTCTACGATGCCTTGGTCTCCTTCATTTTGCTGAGGCTTGTCATTTTAGCCAGGACTCTTTTGATGGCAAGTGACAACTACTGAGCTCGAACCGGCAAACGGAATTTGTTTGCTCTCCCTAAAAAAAATCGAGCATAGATTGCCCTATCTTCAGGCATGACTGTATCAAGGTGCTCAAACTATGTTGGCATGAATCCTTCTCATGCTCTTAGTCCTGCCTTCCCCTGTGTTGGCTTTATTCCTGGGTAGGCTCTCCCCTTATGATGGCAAGATGCTCCACAGATTTCTATCAGCCTAGTAACAAAGCAGAAAAAAAAAAAAAAAAAAAAGTACCTGTTTCCCAACACTTATACCAAAGTCCCAGGGTTGATTCTGATTGGCCCAGTTAGGGTCACATACCCTCCTCTGAACCAATCACCAACTCTGAAGTCGTCTCATTGGCAGGGGTTCAGTTCCACCAAGAGCCCCCAAACCAAAGAGGTCCTCAACCCTGTACTTTATTCCTATTACCGTTTCCTTTTGGGGGGAGGGGGAAAAACCCCAAATCCTCATAAAGAGATTCAAAGATATTAGACCCAATGTTCTGAGCTCTTTGCTGTTCTTTTCCTTACAGTTCAGCATAAATAAGATTAACCCGGGAGCTGTCTAGCAGAGGCAAGCCCTGGCCAGCTGGAGAGCTCTGGACCCACAAACCCCGCATACCACAGAGGACAGGCTGGAGTTCCCCAAGCCCTGGATGGTGACTGCCAAGTGCCTGCCTGTCCCCAAGCACCAAAAGCACAAACTCGGAGGGAAACCCCCAAGTCACCTCATTATCAGCTCAGATCTTCCTGGGAAAGGAAGGAAGGAAAGAAAAAGGAAGGAAGGAAGGAAAGAAATGAAATTTGCTGAATCAATGAATGACGTGGGACATCTCATAAACACTTTCCAGCATTTTGACCCCAATGTCTAGCTTGTTTCTCGCACCCATGCTTTCTTGGGGTCTACTAAGCAGCATAAAACTGCCAGAATGAGAAGAAACCAGCCCCACTAAGAAGACCAACTGTGGTGGGGAAAGAAGCAGGAGACTCCTTGCCTGGCTGTGGACCAGGAGCACAGACGTGGGACTTTATCTTTTGTATTTTTCTTGAGGGGCCAAAAAAGACTGCTTGCATGCCTTGTGCCACACGCCCGCTGCAATCCCAGCCAGTACCTTGAACTCAGAGGCCAGGCGGCCGCTTGGTGCTTGGCCTGGGACGCCGCAGGCACACGGAATGTGCTACCGCCCTAGAGAGAGTCCCCATCTCAAAGTGGAGACGTCAAGAGGCTCATTGGCAGGTCCCCAAACATTTCAGCCTCGGAGCATCTCTGCTGAGGATTCTGGTCCCAGCCATGTCTGCCGAGACAGCCCAGCCTGCCTCTTGCTCCCTACCTGTGCTGAAACCTAGGGAGCCATCCAAGAACTCCTCTACCTGACCCCACCAAAGTAGCCAGTGGGGAAGGGCCAGGACCTAAGCTCTCCTTCTCCCCTGGCCTGGGGTGCAAGCTCAGGTCCCCAAGCAGAATGGCTCAGGTGTGGCATGGACTCCCAGCTCCCAGCCCAGCCCTGTCTGATGCTCTTGTGGCCCTGATGCCCTGTGCCCTTGGCCCCTGGCTATCCGCGAACAACAAACGCCTTCCTGGGAGAAGGCTTTGCGACCATCCGAGTGGGCTTCCCTTTGCAGGTTTTTTGGGGTATCTGTGCTGCCTGCAGGGGGATGGACTGGAGACTTTTTATGAAAGCTTATTGTTTCTCGGGCCAGAGACAGAGGGAAAGGCTCGGCTGAAGCGTCAAGTGTGCAAGAGAGTGGGGGGCTCTGGATCTGGGGGTATAACCACATGCCCCCGGGGCCGGGGTCTGGACACCGTGGCCACTCTGCTTCAGGCTGTGGAGACAGGCAGGACCAATGGGACGCCAGCAAGGAGCTGTGCAGGGCCCCCGGGCCTCCTCCCTGTTGCCCGGTGATTCTCTCTAGACTTCCACCCGGCACAGGCTCCTGCCTTCCCCACTAACTTTGCTCCCAGACCCTTGTCAAGGGACACTGCACATTTTCCTGCCCTGGGAGGTTACTGCCCCTCAGGGGGTGGGCAGCCCCAGGCTACACCCAGACTGGCGCAAGTTGGCTGCTCAGGACCCTCAGGCCTCCTCAGAGGCTTATGGGAAGGAGCTATTAGCACAGAGGCAGGGTCTGCCCCATGGCTTGCTGGAAGGGCAGGGGAGCAGGGCCTCAGGGGCACTGGGTGGCTCCCATTACAGCTGGTGTTCCTCCACCTGGGAATGAGCTCTAACGTCTCCCAACTCTAAAGCAGGGGCTGTCTGGGTTTGTGTTATGGGACCTTTGAAGCCAAAATAGAGATTCCCCTGTTTGGGGTGGGGGCGGGGATGAGCCCCATGTTGCACCACGTGTGAGCTCAGGTCAGGCCAGGAGACATGACGTCTATGGAACAGCTCTGGAAGGGGGCCATGAGCCTGCGTTCTCCGACAGGCCCAGGAGTCCCCAGCTCCAGCCCCTGGGCTGGCAGGATGCTCAGCAACCCAGGGAGAAGACAGAAACGAATGGGCTCGCTGCTGGACGGGGCAGGCATCATCACATGAGGAAATGGTGACAGGTGGGACTCTGCGGCTTCTGGTGCCTTAGGCCCGTGCCCCCCACTACAACAGAAAATGCCGTCTCTCCTCCACTCCCTTGCATACACACACTTATTCACACTCAAAACCCAGAGCAGACCAAGGCCCTGCTTAGAAGCAGGTGAAGAGAGAGACGCCGTCAGCAGACAGTCTGAGGGAGGCACAGCTGGAAAGTTCTCCCTTTCAGGCAAAGCAGCTTGAGTGTTTCCTGGTGGTACCAGGGAGCAGCTCAGAGGCCTCAGAGGTGGACGGAAGGAGCAGAGGCTGTGAGAGGCCGACCCCTGGCAGAGAGGGGCCCAGGGCAGGAGGAGAAAGCTGCCCAGAGAAGACTGCGGGGGGAGTCCCTAGGCCCCAGAGCAGCTCCCCGTCCCCACAGGCAGCCTGGCAACCCCGGCCTCGCTGACGCTGGAGGGAAAAGCAGCCCTGCTCTCTCAGCCCCACCGAGGGTCCAGCTGCTGGCTGCATGAACACAGCGGCCCCCTGGCTCAGTGTGCTGCCCCCGCCTCTCCCCTGTCCCATAGGGAGCAGCAAGAACCACCCCCTCACCACCACCACTGCCACTCACGCCAGTTGGCTCTGTATTTCTTGGCATGGAAAGAAATAAAGCTGAACATACATGCTCACCACGGGTCTGTGTGTTTGTGCTGCTGGGGCCAAAGGGGTTCCAATCGACTAAGTGTGGGTGGCGAAGAGGGGGCACAGTCACTCAGTCTGTTGAGCGGTTGGAAACCGGGCACTGGGAAACCCAGGCACACGAGTCTCCGTGGCTAACTCAGGCACCCCCTGGGCAAACTGTTTGTCCTCTCTGGGCCTCAGTTTCTCAACGGTAAGATGAGAGGGTAACTCTGGTCCCTGTCTTCCCCCTGGTCTGTCTGCACGTGAACACGGATCACAGGGAACCGACCTGTGCTGCCTGCCCAGAAAGTGCTGGGCATTTTATAAACATCAGTAAATCCACATGGAAATCCATGGGTTTACTGATGTCATCATTCTCAGGTTCGGGTTGGTAAACAGAGGCTCAGGGAAGTTGAGGGATGTGGCCAAGGTCATGCTGCGCCTGGTGCGCGCGCGCGCGCACACACACACACACACACACACCACACACACACACACACACACACACACACACACACACACACACACACACACACACACAGCTCCGGCGAGCCAAGTCCAACTCATGGCCACCCTATGTGGGTCAGAGTAGAAATGTGCTCCAAGGGGTTTTACAATGGCTGATTTTACTGGAAGTAGATTGTCAGGCTTTTCTTCTGAGGTGCCCGTAGGTGGACTCGAACCACCAACCTTTTGGTTAGTAGCTGAGTGCAAACTGTTTGTGCCACCCAGGCACACAGAAGGTCTTTAATATTATGTTTGGTGAACTGACCCTGAAGCTGGCTTCTTTGACTACATTTTGCTGCCCAGAAAGGAAAACTCTCTGGAAGGATGGTGAGAGTTAGTTGTGTGGGGGTGAGAGGTGGGGATCTATTTCCCAGGCTGCAGTAGGAAAGCAGGTGGAGTTGCTTAACTGTGGAAGACGTCAGCAGGGGCCTCAGGAGGGCAGGCCAGGGAGGGAAGTGGGGTTGGACACTGCAGGGGCCAAGCCAGAGCCACCCGCCTGGGCTGCCAGGGGAAAGCGAAGCGATTGCCACATGAAAACGGACAAGAAGCAGCCTGCACAGAGGGCTCTGTGGTTATGAAATCAGGAGCAAGAGGCGGGGGGAAGGATGAGGGCAGGCACAGGGCTGGGGTAGGGCAGGGAAGGGAGGAAAGGGAGGAAGGGTCACAGGGCCTCTGAAGCAGCACAGCAGGGTGGATGAGTGCCTGGTAGCTGGAACAGATGGCCTGGGTTCAAATCCTGCCCTGCCGCTTACTAGCTGGATCCCCTTGGGGGAAGCGCCTGTTTCATTGAATCTGAAAAATGAAGCTAATAATAGTAATAGTTCTTGCCTCACAGAATCACCGTGAGCATTCAGCGAGGCAATCCACGTAAAGACCTGAGGACACTCTCTTGGGCTGCCAAAGCTACTCTACAGTAGCTGGTACTCCTGTGTGACCTCCTTAACTGATAAATCTTCAAAGACCCTAATTCCAAACGAGGTCACATCCCTGAGGGTAGGACTTCAACATATCTTTTTGGGAGACACCATTCAATCCGTAACAGAAGACAAGCCAAGTGATGTCCTTCAGACCAACCCATCTCCCGCCATGAGGTGAGATGCTGTTATTTGCTGTCGAGTCGATTCTGACTCACGGTGACCCCATTTGTGCAGAGTAAAACTGTACTCCGTAGAGTTTTCAAGGCTGTGACCTATTGCAAGTAGATTGCCAGGCCTTACTTCTGAGGCACCTCCGGGTGGGTTTGAACCGCCAAACTTTCAGTCAGAGCTCAGCGTTTAACTATTGACGCCACGCAGGGACTCCTCACGTGGTGAATGTGTTGGGAGGAAACAAAGCAGAATGTTCATCAAGACTGAGGACCTGTTCAGGCCGAGGCCCGTCCCTCAGGTCTGTCTGCATCACTAGTCTGCCCTGCCTTAGGTCAGAGGGTCCCCCTCCACCCCCCACCCATACGTTATCTCTATACTGGGGAGTGAGAGGGGAGAGGAGCGTGGTTTACACCTTCCATAAAGGCTTGTGGGAGAGTTAGCGAATAATTGGCCTTGCAGTACCTACCTACCTGCCCCTCCCCCCACTCCTCCGTACCTTATTCTGATACCTATGGCTCTGACTTAACTTCCTATGGAGGGATAAGTGGGGAGACCACTTGGCTTGTCTCCTGTTATGGATTGAATGGTGTCCCCCCAAAAGATATGTTGAAGTCCTAGCTCCAGGGATGTGACCTTGTTTGCAAATAGGGTCTTTGAAGATTTATCAGTTAACAGGAGGTCACATAGGAGTACCACCTGCTGTAGAGTCGAGCCAGACTCACAGTGACCACATGTGTGCAGAGTAGAACTGCACTCCATAGGTTTTTTAAAAAAAATATATATATGTCTTAGTTATCTAGTGCTCCTACAACAGAAATACCACAAGTGGATGGCTTTAACAAAGAGAAATTTATTCTCTCACAGTCTGATAGGCTAGAAGTCCGAATTCAGGGTGCCAGCTCCAGGGGCAGGCTTTCTTTCTCTGTCGGCTCTGGGGAATGGTCCTTGTCATCAATCTTCCCCAGTTGAGGAGCTTCTCAGCGCAGGGACCCTGGGTCCAAAGGATACGCTATTCTCCTGGCTCTTGTTTCTTGGTGGTATGAGGTCCCCATGTCTCTCTGCTCACTTCTCTCTTTTCTATCTCAAAAGAGACTGGTTTAAGATACCACCTAATCTTATAGAGTCCTGCCTCATTAAAATAACTAGCGCTAATCCCACCTCATTAACATTGTAGAGGCAGGATTTACAACACATAAGAAAATCACATCAGATGACAAAATGTTGGACAATCACACAATCCTGGGAATCATGGACTAGCCAAGTTGTTACACATTTTGGGGGGATACAATTCAATCCAGGACTGTATACACAGCCAAAGATACTCCACAGGGTTTTCAAGGCTGTGACCTTTTGGAAGCAGATCACCAGGCCTTTTTTCCAAGACACCTTCTGGGTGTGTTCAAACCCCAACCTTTTGGTTAACAGTTGAGTACTTAACTGATTGAGAAGATCCATCCATAAGCCAAGGAACTGCCAAGAAATGCCTGGGGCTACCAGAAGCTGAGAAAGACGGGAAAGGATTTTCCCCTAGAGCCTTCAGATAGAGCATGGCCCTACTGACACTTTGAATTCTGACTCCAGCCTCCCCAACAGTGAGACAAGGCGTTTCAGTTCTCATAAGCCACCCAGTTTGTGATATACTGTTAACGGCAGCTCTAGGAATCTAATACATCCCCCATGTACCTCAAAAGCCACCCCTGAACAATCAGGAGCTGACTGTATGGTTATCCATCTTATCTCATGATTCAACTCAGTTTAATTCAATTCAACAAGCACCTTCTTTGGGCCAGCAATGGGCACTGAAAGATGAACAAGATTGGGCTGGCATTGAAGAGTTTGCTTTGTAGTGAGGAAAGCAGACCATTAAGATACAAAGCAGATAATTATGCAGCGCTCATTGTGAGAGCAGCAAACTTTGCCTGGAGCTAGGCCCCTTCCCTCCCTCCGTCCACAAACATGTTTTAAGAACCTACCATGTGCCCTGGGCTGGACCCTGGGGACAGGAAATGGAAAAAGGACGGGCTTTCTGGACCATGTGATCTTTGACCTAAAGGAAAAGCCTTCCTGCCCCACTGGGTCCCAGTAAGCTCTCCCAGGAGGTCAGGGAAGCTGACCCGCAGGAGGCTGGCCTCCACCTGGAGCCTCTCTGGTCAAGGCGGCACTTTGTGGAAATTCATCTGAGCAAGTGAGGAGGGCTGGGCGAGAGGAGCGCTTCCTGTGTGCCGGGCCCTGGGGCCTGTGCTTTACATGAATGATCTCTTATGATCCTCACACTACCTTTCTGAGGTATCTTCCCTTTTAAATACATTTATTGTGGTGAAATATATACAACAAAAGTTTGCTATTTTAGCCATTTTTAAGTGTACAATTCAATGACGTTAATTGCATTCACCATGTTCTGCCACCATCACCACTATCCATTTCCAAAAGGTTTACACCACCCCAAACAGAAACTCAGCACCCCCTCAGCAATAACTCCCACCCCCTCCTCCCTCCCGCCCCTGGTAACCACGAATAACCTTTGGTCTCTATGCATTTGCCTCTTCTAGACATTTTATGTAAATGGGCTCATACAATATTTGTCCTTTTGCATCTGGAGCTGAGAGGCAGGGCGGGTCAGCTAGAAGCTGGGCCCTGCCTCCAAGGGCTTCTGCCTCCTGCATTATTGATGTGCTGCCTGGTCGCGGGGATGAATAATTCATCAGGGGAAGGAAGCATTGAGGACTGCAAACCCGTTCCTCTCCACTTGGGCTCTCG